GGAGACTGAGGAACCAGGCAAGGGTGTGTGTGGTAGAGGCAAGATTCTTCAGTGCCATTAAGTATTTATGCCTTTAACTCTTGTGTAGTCTTTGCCGAGCTTTCTGTATCTCTTTGTATCTTTTCTATGTACCCCTTCCCCCAAAAGTGATGCTCGTCAGTTCCTCTGGGTAACTGTGCCCACAGTTTCCTGCAAACTATTTCCCAATCACGTGTTGCAAACATGAGAACATCCGTTGATGTCCTATCTTAGCCTTAAGCCTCTCTGATGGAAGGCCTAACATAGCTTACAGTAAAGTTGTGTAACAGTAATCTTGATAGTTCCTTGAATGGCTACTATCACTTTGGATTGGTGATAACTCAAGAGAGACGAAGTAATTTACACTCCACACATCCTAATCTCTGCAGGCAACTAGTCTGGAGGCTCATTTTGCTTTGAGGCCTTTAGATTCTACAGGCTAGAAATGTGATCCCATCTCCATGCACGAGAAAACCCAGGCCTAGAACCCTGAACCTAGGCTTCAGGATGTCACAAGTCATGGAACAAGAAAGGGACAGAGTCAGTTTAGAGCAGTGTGTTGCAAGCCAGAAGCTCCCAAGTCAGGCTTGTTTTGTATACTCTTGTCTCCATTCATCTGCCCCTAGACCAGGGAAACAAAGCCTTCAGCAAATGTTCTGAATTTCTGGGCACATTGAACCTGTTGCCGCTCAAGATGATTGATGGCACCAAAAACCAACTGAATCTGTCCTTCCACAAGTTGCAGTTTTCATGAGTCCTACATCATTTCCACCCCCTTTCCTTTAGGAACAATGTGGCAGATGCCAAGGTATTTCTTTTCCCTGTCAGATTGCCTCCTATCACTTCAATGGCTCTGAAGTTACTGTAAAAGCTTGTGTATCACCAGGTAGTTATTCTAGCTTTGTGCTTTGTTCTTTGTCTCCTGCCTGTGCAAACAGGCAGGCTGGGCACACTGTCTTTATGAAAAGATTTGGCTAGTGTTTTATGGGGAAGATGCTGGTCAGAATATTGTATCAACATTTGCTTTTCTGTCTCTTAATGTCAAATGATTCTGGCTAGCTTCTGCATCAGGTGTGAACTTTAAGGATGTTTACTTTGTTGAGAGGAATGATTGACAGAGGCTGCCCACCTTCAACTTTTTCTACTTGGAAATAACAGAAAAGTGGCAGCATTCTAGCCCAGATGGCAGCAGCTGCAGATAAGACCAGAAGAGAAGCTGGGCTGGTAGTCCAGTGTCCACAAAGGGACCGTGTCTTAGGCTTTTATTGCTGTGACGAGAGATCATGACTGTCTTAGTTAGGGTTTTACTGCTGTGAACAGACACCATGACTAAGGCAACTCTTAGACAACATTTAATTGGGGCTGGCTTACAGGTTCAGAGGTTCAGTTGATTATCATCAAGGTGGGAGCATGCCAGCATCCAGGCAGGCATGGTATAGGAGGAGCTGAGAGTTCTATCTCTTGTTCCAAAGTCAAACAGGAGAAGACTGACTTCCAGGCAGCTAGGAAGAGGGTCTGAAAGCCCATGCCCACAATGACACACCTCCAAGACCACACCTCCAAATAGTGCCACTCCCTGGGCCAAACATACTGAAACCACTACAGTGACCAAGGCAACTTTTATAAAGGAAAACATTTAATTGGGGCTGGCTTACAGTTTGAGAGGTTTAGTCCATTATTGTCATGGTGGGAAATAGCAGCCTACAGGGAGAAGGAGCTGAAAGTTCATTATCTTGATCCTCTGGCAGCAGGGAGAGACTGTCACATTGTTTGGGCATAGGAGACCTTCCTCAAGGCCACACCTACTTTAACAATGCCACATCTCAAAATAGTGCCACTGTCTCGGGCCCAAGCATAGTTCGTGTATTAATGCATTGATACTAATTTACGGTGTTGATAAACATATTGTCTGTCTCCATGTCTGCAGTAGTTTTACTTAGATTGTATAAGGAGACAGGCTTAGAGGGATTAAGTTCAGTTATTCAAGAACAGATCATTAGTGGCAAAAGTTGCATTTGAATTTGTGACTCTTGGACTTCTAGCTGGAGCTGCTGTGTGATCTAGTCAGTTTGTTCAGCCCATGGCAAGAAAGCTAGAAAGTCAGTGAATGGAATTGGCAGGCCAGTTAGCTTTTCAGGTGCTCTCTGAAGCTCCCTCCAATCCCATCTGCTACTGCGTTGCCAGGTCTGTCCGTTCTGGGGAGAAGCTCATTCTTTTACTTCATCCACGTATTAAGATGTGTTTAACAAAAGGCTGTGGGTTGGGCACTGGGTCACTATGAGCACTGGCAATAATGGCCCTAGGACTCGAAGTTTTGTGCTCTCAAGGAAAGAATGAGGCAATGGTCATAACAGGGGTAACTGTAGGTTGAAGGAGAACCAGAGAGAAGGAGGATAGCCCTTAGCCTAGGGCAGGACAGGGCTCTCAGAAGTAGGACCCTGTCACCCAAGCCCCAAGAATGGGCTGGTCAGGTGATGAGGATGAGTTTGGCCCTAATCTTCTAGATGGAGAGAGAAGACCTGAGGCAAGCACTGAGACCTGGAAGTGAAAGAGTGGCGTGCAGGCAGAAGTGAGAGGCGCTCTATTTATGGAGCTTGGGGTTTGGGGAGAGGGCAGTGATTCTTCGGGTTAGGCTGCAGGTGGTGCCCATCGAAATCACCACAAACGCCTGAGACTCCATCAAACAGTCACTACTAAAGTCAGCTCTGCAGTATGTTTTCCTGGATTGTAATGTCCTTGCATTTCATGGTCCTTACCCCTTGCATGAGGATCTCTGCCCTGCCCCAGGGCTTCAGGTATGCAGACACTTGTGTTGCTGCAAGGGTGCATGCACCTTGCTTGTCAGAACACTGTAAGCACTCAACATTTGATCCTTGCCGTCTCCCACATCAGCAGGTGTCACTTGACTTTTCCTGAATGAGTGGACAGAGTTGTCCAAGCACACAGGCTGCTACATAGTGCACCAATGCAGCTCTGCCCGCAGCTTCCCAAGTCCCGTTTGTGTGCCTGTAGGAGGCTGATGGGTCAACATAAAACTGTGCTGGGGGCTGGAGAGATGGCTCAATGGTTAAGAGCACTGACTGCTCTTCCAGAGGTCCTGAGTTCAATTCCCAGCAACCACATGGTGGCTCACAACCATCTGATGACCTTTTCTGGTGTGTCTGAAGACAGCTACAGTGTACTAATACAAATAAGTAAATCTTTAAAAAACGAAACAAAACTGTGCTGGAGGGTGGAGAGTGAAGGCAGCCTGGTGGAAAGGCAGAAGGGCATCTCTGTTGTCATGGAGGAGGGTTGCTTCAGAGGCAGGGTTGGGGGTGGTGTGGTGCAGGGGGCGGGGCTTAGGCCATAGCCTGTTGCTGTTTTCTTTTCAATAGCCTGCCAGCGTTTAGAAGTCTTTCGTTCTCAGGCCTCTAAATTACTGTTAGCAAGTTGATCACACTACATAGGAAGCTTCTACTGAACTGTACTCAACTGCCCAGGGCAATGCTGGCTGAGCAGGTACTCAGGGCTGATTCACTCACAGATAACTTCATTTTCAGTAGCCTGCCACCTTGATCTTCACTTGTCCCTGTGGGCACCTGCATGGAACATGCTAATTGGGGTTTCAAGTCATTCTTGCTGCCTGGAAATATCCTGCAGGCATATGTAAGTCCTGTGGTCTGGAAGTCCTTAAAAGTTTGATATAACTGTTGAAAAAAAGGAAATGTCTATGTCTTTCTCTGTGTGGAAGACCACTTGTAAGGACAAGGGCAGTGGCATGTACTGTCTGAGTCCTTCCTGCAAGCAAGGGTGGGAGCCACCTATGCATTCATCCGATCCCCTTAAAAAGAAACGAGGTTGTTGGTGCGCCAACTAAGTACCTAGGGTCTTTGTTGAAAGATAATGTTTGGTGGCTAATAGAATAGAATGTGCTCCTTTTATATAAACACATACTCCAAAGAAAAGTACATGTGGTTAGCCAGGTCTGCTGGTGTCAGGACAACCCACCGAGGTGAACCCAAGACTAGTGATTCACCTGGAAAAAGAAGCAGGCCATCACAGATCCTCTTAAATCTCAAGGAGTGGGGTGAGCAAGTGTGGGTTTGAACACCTCACACAATATTTCGTAAAAATTTCACACAATTTCACGGCACAGTCATAACTAATGATTTTTAAAGAAAACTCAGATACAAAGTTTAATTTGCCAGCCAATTAAGAAGTGGAGACTACACCGACGCCTTCAATACTGAACACCATTTTTCATTAAAAACAAGCCTGAAAACAAACTTCTGGTCCCGAGTGTGCCTCATGCATCAGATCCCATGACTCTGTCACTCGGGACAGGCCTCCCCGCCCCGCTTCTTCACTGCGGGGACCAGCCCAGATCTCATGCACGTGGCGGGCGCAGGGCCCCTACCGGCGCCCTGGGGGAGCCTGGCTGATGAAACGCTCCGGGCTCGGCCCGAGAGACGCGCCCGCCGCAGGGCAACTCGACGGAGGAGACGGGCTGGGACGGCGCACCCTAAAAGGACGAGCGGGGGGCGGCGTGGGCGGCGGCGCCCGGACGCCGCGGCGCAGA